CACACACACACACACATGTTTGCACAGCTATCCATTTGGGGACATTCCATTGACTTCCATTACATTTCTACAGCCTAACCCTGACCACAAAGCCTAAGGCTAACCTCACAGGTACCTACCTGACCCTAAAACTAACCTAAACTCAATTCACACCTTGATCCTAAACCCAACCCTCAACCCATCAATGGCATTTAAACCAAATGGGGACTCGACTTTTGTCCCCAAGTGCACCAGTTATCCCCAAATGTAGGCATTTTGTCTTAAAATTGTCCCCAAATGTCACCAGAAACAACCTCCCCCACACACACACGTTTGTTTTTGAACCCCGTGGAGACCTTCCATTGACTTCCATTCATGTTTTTAGACTTAATATCCTAACCCTGACCATATACAGTACTCTAAAATTAACCTCACAGGTTAATTTAACCTAATAACCTAACCCTAAAACTAACCTCAACCTATGACTTTATTCTAGTAACTTGTAGTTGCATTTTTTATTTAATATCTTATTGCAGCATAAATTTCATCAGCAAAGTTGCTAAACTTACTTTTAAAAACAAATCCTTCGGCCCGTGGTGTATTTCCAAACTACGTTGACTCTTTAAAAAAAACTCCACCGTCTTCATTTCTCTGTTTATTTTGCTGCTTGCGCATTGAATCCTGGGATATCCTCGGCCGGTGAGGATACACGGATGCATCCTCGGATTTCAAGAGTTTGTCGGCCACATGATGAGGAGCCTTCGAATTGGGACAGTCCTCCGTGCGGGGCAGTGACATATGCAGCCGACAAATGCGCACTCATGAGGACCCAGCTCATGAATTGAGACACAGCAATAGTCATACGGAGCCAATTTTATGTTAAAATGGCATGCCATTCATACTTACCACTTTTAAGTCTTGTGATATAAATGATGGTGCATTCCTGTTATGTGCAGTTTTTAGATGGAGGCTGTAAAAGTTATACGTATGCTGTTGTGGTCTAAACATCTTGTTACTTTTGTTGCATTTTGTTCTTCCATGGAGTTTTGCAGCAGCGTATGTGTTCCTTGGTTTTCCATGACTCTCTGGTAATGTGTGGATGTCAGTCTTCTTTCAGCATCGAGCCGTGGTCTCATCCACCATCTTCTAGCTTTTCTTTTAGCCATTGGTCTCTTTTGGTCTACAGACAGATAGAATGTTAGCAAAGCATAGCATGAGACTGTGTAATGTTAATGTTGGGTCACTGCTAAGTACCTTGTTATTACAGTGTGTATGTATGTGTGATTTATGTCCGTCCATTTTCTTCTTCTTATCCGGGGTCGGGTTACGGGGGCAGCAGCCTAAGCAGAGAGACCCAGACTTCCCTCTCCCCAGCCACTTGGGCCAACTCCTCTGGGGGAATCCCAAGGTGTTCCCAGGCCAGCTGAGAAACATAGTCCCTCCAGCGTGTCCTGGGTCTTCCTCTGGGCCTCCTCCCAGTGGGACGTGCCCGGAACACCTCACCAGGTAGGCGTCCAGGAGGCATCCTAACCAGATGAACCACCTCAACTGGCTCCTCTCGACGTGGAGGAGCAGCAGCTCTACTCTGAGTCCCTCCCGGATGACCGAGCTTCTCACCCTATCTCTAAGGGAGAGCCCAGACACCCTGCAGAGGAAACTCATTTCGGCCGCTTGTATCTATGATCTTGTTCTTTTGGTCATTATCCAAAGCTTGTGACCATTGATAAGGGTAGGAACATAGACCGACTGGTCAACCAAGAGCTTTGCCTTCTGGCTCAGCTCTCGCTTCACCATGACCTCCTCCCCGACCCGGAGAAGGCACCCTACCCTTTTCCGGCTCAAGACCATGGTCTCGGATTTGGAGGCACTGATCCTCATCCCGACCGCTTCACACTCAGCTGTGAACCGCTCCAGTGAGAGCTGGAGATCAGGATCTGATGAAGCCAATATGACCACATCATCCGCAAAAAGCAGAGATGTAATCCTAAGTTCACCAAAACGAATCCCCTGAACACCCTGGCTGCACCTAGAAATTCGGTCCATAAAAGTTTTGAACAGTATTGGTGACAAAGGGCAACCTTGGCGGAGTCCAACTCACAGTGGAAACGAGTCTGACTTACTACCAGCAATGCGGACCAAACTCTGACACCGGTCGTACAGGGTCAGTTCAGAGTCTGGTGGTTTATGTTGCAGAGTTCATTCAACATAATCTTTACACATAGGCTTTTATTGCTGGAGATCATGCTACATATGAGTATCAGATACAAAGATGAGATGTTACAGTCATATTACTGCATCTTAACATGCTGTAGAAACACAACTCACATATAGAGACACATTCCTAATTTGTTTTATTTATCTTAATTTATAACACAGTATGCTTGTTTACTTCCTTTTTGGAAAAAATGCTGTCTCTYTTTCTTGTTAAAACAATTGTAGCACGTAAAATCTGTACAGATTCAAATGATGAATGCATCATTTATTGTGTGTCCTTACTCTGTTMTGCCTTCCAGTCCGACTCCCACTATTAAGTGGTTTAAGAAGGGTGGAGATCTGCCAGTGCAGAAAGTAAGGTTTGAAAACTACAACAAGACACTGAGGATCGTCAACATATCAGAGGAGGATGTCGGCGAATATGTTTGCATGGCCAATAATCACCTTGGCAGCATCCGACACTCCATCTTTGTTGAAGTTAAAGGTGAGGAACCGACCGGTGAGCTCTTTCCTGCTCGTGAATGAACACGTGTTCCCTGCCAATCTGACATCTTGTGTTTCACAGCGGCTCCTTATTGGTTGGACAAACCCACAGACCTGGTCCTGGCCCCAGAAGACAATGGCCGCTTGGTGTGTCGGGCCAACGGCAACCCTAAACCGACCATTCAGTGGTTCGTCAATGGAGAGCTGATAAACGGTACGAGTTGTTTCTGTCTGACTTTAAAATGACTACAGTTTGAGTCACACCTGACTTTTACATTTCCCTTTAAACTGTAATGATGTCATTTCAAACTTACTTTTTCTGAATTACTGTCAGAAAACAAACTGGATCATTTTATACCAACAATTTGAATCAGTTAATCACTTCTCAATGACGTGTCTAGTGTTTAAGTTTAATTTTATAGAAATTTTGTTTATAATCTTTTTCACCTTTCCACCCACCCCTCGTCTCCTGTAGTGACCTCAGGCACCCCTGTAAATCCAAACCGACAAGTTCTGGGTGACACCATCATCTTCCGCTCAGTGCAGATTGGAAGCAGTGCTGTGTACCAGTGCAACGCCTCAAACCATCATGGATACTTGCTGGCCAATGCCTTCGTCAATGTTCTTGGTGAGACCCTGCTACAAAAAAAAAACTGTAAGAACTGTACTTAATTACTTAGACTTAGTTCCTCCTGCGGCRTTCGGTGCGTTGGGCAGTAAGACGTCTCCCTAGGGGTCAATCTTTTGTGACCACTTCAGTCTTGTCTGGGCTGATATCAAGGGCCTTGAGGTCTTCATGGAAGGTACGGCGCAAATTACGTTGGGGAAGCCCTTGTTTCCTCTTGCCACATGATGGTATCTGTTGGATGGCTGTTTTTGATGAAGGTCTCAAGCCCATTTGAAAAAGGAGTAGGGCTGGGCGTGGGACCAGCGATTCCACCCTGTAAAAAGAACCATACTGGGCCCTTCTAATCCTTGAGCATAATGTTTCTCAGGGGTGGCTGTGTGTCAGTCACCATCGATCTGTCTGTCTGTCTGTCTGTCTGTCTGTCTGTCTGTCTGTCTGTCTGTCTGTCTGTCTGTCTGTCTGTCTGTCTGTCTGTCTGTCTGTCTATGGATCCATCCTCTTCATGACTGGTTGGTGTAACAGAAACTAGAATAAGATCAGTTTTCTTTAACTTGTATTTGTCCACCTATAACGTACAAAGTTTAGTCTGATGTCATGTTTTAAAGGAACATAATGTCAGGCTCACATCTGGCCCACATCAACATGTTGGGAGATGATTTGTTTTTAATGGAATAAAGATGATACTCTGTTACATGTTACGTTTGTCTTTATATAAAAATATTGAATTTTTTATTAGACATTCAAAAAGTATTAGAGAACATTACTGTGACAAGGACGTGACAAGAAACAAACATTGTTTAATTGAATAAATTTCTCTGTGTTTTGTTTCTGGAGTCAGATTTGGCTCAGTGTACGATGGTTTTGCTGCGGAGGATCAGGGTTTTGATTCTCAGCTTGCGCAGTGTGGGCTGAATTATCCTTGAATTGTCTTTGCAGAACTTGCAGAGGTAAAATTGGAACATTTAAACAAGWTCCATTGAGTCTGTGCTGAATGGRTCCTATAAGAACAGAACTAACTTAAAGCCATGTCATTGATTGAAGGACTGACCACCTGCTGTGTTTCATGCCTGAGTTTTGAACATCATGWTACAGAGTTTTAGCTATGCACAATTTCCTTTATTTCTGTGAGATCTCGATGCAGTTTACTCTCAGCTACTACCACACCAAAGATAGCTCATTATCTGTGAAATTATCTGAATTATAATCTTGTTTGTGYTAGCTAAGGTTGATTAGCCMTGGYGGCCATCTTGAACTGAGTTTACTTCAAATGTTAATGAGCTTTAAGATGTACATCCAATGATTTCTTTGAGGCTTTCAATAAAATGTCTCTAATTGTTCATGAGATTTTTTGCTAACAAACACAACTGACGCCAATAATTCATTGCAAAGTTTAAAAAAACATTGCATGATTAGTTAGCACTCAGAGTATGTGTAGGGAATGACTTTCAGCGACAAAATTTTAGCTCAATATCCTTCTAATTATTGAAATTAAAGTTATTTTCTATGTTTGCTAAGGTCACTTACGGGTTACAGCCATTTTTAATAGTTCATTCCAAAACTTAATCAGTGATTTAGTTATAGATGTTAAACCAATGGTTACTTTTTTGACAAAACAATACAATATTTATTGCCTTTTGTCTTTGTCAGAAAGTGAAATGATTCTTGTGACGTTTACTCATGTTATGTTGACTGCTCAAAAATCATAGACTCTAGCTTTAGACAGTAGACAGCAGCCTTACATTCTAATATTTGAGGTTKTATGTAAGTGTTATTCACCTTCTCTCTGCTTGTTGTTACAGACATGGTTCCCACAATGCTGGGCCCCAAAAATCAGCTGATAAAAGTGACCAGAAACAACCGGACCTTCCTCCATTGTCCCTTTTTCGGCTCTCCGTTTCCTACGCTGCGCTGGTCAGAACCACATTTTTATTTTTTCATCAATAGATATTTGTTTCCCYTGCTAAACTATTTTTGATAAAAGCAGAATGTAGTCATTTGTATCAAAGTGTTTTTTTTATTTACTAAACTAATGTTTTTTTCAAAGGTTTAAGAATGGACAAGGCAGTGGGCTAGATGGAGGTCAGTACCGGGTTTACGTCAATGGTACCCTGGAGATAAAACGGACTCGAAAAGAGGACGAAGGCATCTACACCTGTGTGGCCACCAGCATCATGGGCTCAGCTAATAACCAGGTCCGCCTGGAGGTTAAAGGTCAGATATTAGATCATCATTTCACTGTAGGAGTCATGTGGGGCATCCTGCTATAAACCACCATCCAAGCTGTTGAAAACCACAATGAACAGACCCCCTTGTTTCCCTGGTTTATGTATTATTGTATTTCCCTAACAGCTAATAAATACTGAGTATCTTACAGAATATCTTTAAAAAAATATTTTTCTTTTAAAGACTGATTTAAATAAAGGACTACCATTCCTTTATACATTACAAATCTTCACCTGTCTTTGATGTCAGAATTTAAAACTGAGGTCATCTTATGATGATGAGAAACAGTTATAGCTCTTTTAGTCATACCTTGAAAATAATGTTATATGAGAATTAATTTGAAGCTGAGTTTTTGAAATAAATCATTASATTACTCTAAACGTCTGTAAACCTGCAAAATGAGGGAAAATCTGTGTAAATTACAGAMAWTCTGTTYACGTGAGCAGCTGTCAGTCAGCACCTGTCATCATCCAGACGCACGACGCAGWGCGTGTCTGAACCAATCACTGATCAGCTGACTGATTTAAATACATCTTAACATTCATGAGGTACTTTACATTGACTGTTTATGGTTGAGTGTGGGCGTGTAGAGGGCAGAACCTGAGGCGGGACCTTGTGCGCAAATTATGAGGCACACCTGTGATCTATAAAGAGAAAATGCAGTGAAGCATGGGTACACACGGTTTCATAAATCAGAGTTTTTTTTGATGTACGCCATTTTCGTCTTTTAGCCGTACGTTCATTTTTAATATGGTTTCCACGCAATCCTTTATAAATCTGACCCCAGGACACTGCTGTTGACATCATCGATATTATATGATAGAACATAAGAGAAATATGAATTAGCTCTGGTATGGAAGCCTGTGGAGGATTTGTTTCTTTAAGCATTGCTGATTTTCTCACCATAAATCTTTCAGCTGTCCCAGTGTCTCAGTTTCTGAACCTTTTATTTAAACATACTGTATAATGGACAAGAAGTGATCCAACGGTCCAACTATTTCTGAGTGAAAGGGCTTGATGATTCTAAATCGCTAGAAGAAAAAAGAGACTATTCCCCCCCAGTAAATAAAGACAGAGGAATGATGAAAAGCATCTTGATTGAGTTTATCTGATGTTTTTCTACGCTCTTCCCTTTGCTTCAGAGCCGACTCGGATCATTCTAGCTCCAGTGGCTCAGTCAGCTGCCAGGGGTTCCACAGCTCGCTTTGACTGTAAGTCAGAGTCCGGTCTGCCCACCTCTGTGACCTGGACCAAAGACGACCAGCCGCTGCACCTGGGATGGAGGTAATTACCTCACACCAACCTTAGCAAACACAAAATGACTATAACTCAGACAGTTTTAGAGATATTGAGCTAAAACGTAGTGTGAGTGTGAGTCAGTCTCAGTACAAATTACATGAGATCTGGATTTAAAACGTCATTAAATATCTAAATCAACTATTAGACTGGAGCGTTTTAACTTATATGAAAACTTTGCATTTTTAATACAAAAAAAGTTTTTTTAGGAACATGTTTTGTTTTAAAAATGGACAGGCTATCAAAATATGTGATAAATGGTATTTACGTTTTTTTTAATGATGTAATTAATGTCATCATTTACAGCAGGTAAAATAAGTATTGAACACGTCAACATTTTTCTCAGTAAATATATTACT